GTCTCCTGGGGAATCAGTCCTCAACAGCAGCTCCTGTCCTGATACTGGATTGCGGTATCTCCTTTTTATTATCTGCTATAGTTAAATGTCATTGTTAACTTGATCAGATTTGGCATCACCTGGAGCCACACCTATCTGTATTTAAAAGAGTTTCCAGGTACAGTTATTTGGGAGAGGGGGAGACCCACCCTGACTATGGGGGGCACCATCTAATTAGCTGTGGTCCTGGCCTGAATAAAAAGAGAAGGAGGAGTAATGAGCGGAGTACCAGCATTCATCTCTCTGTGCTTTCTGCTTCAGTCTCCTGCTGCCGTGCCTTCCCCACCATGATGGACTGCGCCTTCAAGCTGTGAGACAAATAAACCCTTTTTGAAAATTGTTTCCTGACAACTATTTTGTCACCGCAACAAGAAAACTACGTAACACACTGGGAGACACCAAACTTCTCAGCAGTCCCAAGGCCCCACACACAACGGTCCTGTGCACAGAGCGACTGGCTCCACCCCCAACCCAGCCATCCCAGAGAGCCATCAGGAAATTCCAGGGCCAAGAAAAGTGATAGAGCCTTGTCTCCTTAGGAGGCAAATGTAAGTGCCTAGTGATGTGAGAGCTCAAGGGGCTGAGATGGTCCAGTCCCACCTCCTCAGACCATGACTATCACCTTCCCACCTCCTCAGACCGCAACAGTCACCTTCCACACCTCAGACCATGACTGTCACCTTCCCACCTCCTCAGACCATGACTGTGACCTTCCCACACCTCAGACCATGACTGTCACCTTCCCACACCTCAGACCATGACTGTCACCTTCCCAACTCCTCAGACCATGACTGTGACCTTCCCACCTCCTCAGACCATGACTGTGACCTTCCCACACCTCAGACCGTAACAGTCACCTTCCCACCTCCTCAGACCATGACTGTGACCTTCCCACACCTCAGACCGTAACAGTCACCTTCCCACCTCCTCAGACCATGACTGTGACCTTCCCAACACTTCAGACCATGACTGTGACCTTCCCACACCTCAGACCATGACTGTCACCTTCCCACACCTCAGACCATGACTGTGACCTTCCCACACCTCAGACCATGACTGTGACCTTCCCACACCTCAGACCATGACTGTCACCTTCCCACACCTCAGACCATGACTGTCACCTTCCCACCACTCAGACCGTAACAGTCACCTTCCCACCACCTCAGACCACAATAGTCACTTCCCTCCACCTCAGACCATGACTGTCACCTTCCCACACCTCAGACCATGACTGTCACGTTCCTACCACTCAGACCGTAACAGTCCCCTTCCCACCACCTCAGACCATAACAGTCACCTTCCCACCGCCTCAGACCATGACTGTGACCTTCCCACCACCTCAGACCGTAACAGTCACCTTCCCACCACCGCAGACCACAATAGTCACTTCCCTCCACCTCAGACCATGACTGTCCCCTCCCCACCACCTCTGACCATGTCTATCACTGTCCTATCGCCCTAGACCCTGACTCCCACCTTCCTGTCAGCTCAGACCATGACTGTGACCTTCCCACCACCTCAGACCGTAACAGTCACCTTCCCACCACCTCAGACCACAATAGTCACCTTCCCTCCACCTCAGACCATGACTGTCCCCTCCCCACCACCTCTGACCATGTCTATCACTGTCCTATCGCCCTAGACCCTGACTCCCACCTTCCTGTCAGCTCAGACCATGACTGTGACCTTCCCACCACCTCAGACCGTAACTGTCACCTTCCCACCACCTCAGACCATGACTGTCACCTCCCCACCACCTCTGACCATGTCTATCACTGTCCTATCACCCTAGACCCTGACTCCCACCTTCCTGTCAGCTCAGACCATGACTGTGACCTTCCCACCAACTCTGTGCCAAGGCTGTCACAATTCCCTCCATCTCCTGGTCCTCTCGTTCGGGAAGGTGGTTCTGGACATGCTCCTTTTGAAGTGTCACACACTGAAAGGCTATTTAAAGAGAGCAGGAGACTGAAGTGGAATGGTACAGAAACCATGCCAGGCTGAGAAGACTCTAGAGCCAAATAGCTAGTGTTCCTACTGGAAAGCTGGTCACACACCTGCCTGTGTTGCAGCTTGAGGCAGAGGAGAGCCTGTGAAAATTCACATCAGCCTGCCTGGGGCCAGGGCACCCTACTCACATCCCAGGCCTAAACCAAGCAGCTTTGAAACTGAAGACCAAACAACTTTCAGAAATTAAGATCTGACAGGTCAGTCAGCATGAGGGTGAAGACTCTAAGTGGCTGATGACGTAACATGTTCGAATGTGTTTGGAAAATAAAATCTGGACAATTTCCAGAGAAGAATACAAAAGATAAAAACCTGGAAAATGGGAGAGGAAAAATGGCAAAGGTCATGGCAGAAGGGATGCCGTCTAGAGGCAGCAGGGGCCGGCCAGGGAAGGGGAAAGGGACATGGCTTCAAACCCAGGTTCTATACCCAGCCAGACTATCCAGCATGGGCAGACAGACATACAGGGGCCTGGGAGTATGACCAGGCAGTGTGTGCAAAGGCCTCTGGCCTTGCACCTGGCAAACCAGGAATGGAAAGAGTGGAATCTTGCTAGAAACTTCACAGAGCTGTGGTGTGTCTGGAGAAATGGGTACAGAGGAGGACATAAGCCTCTGAGGAAATTGTAAAAAACATGTATGTTGTCTCCTTGCTCACATTTAAAAATGTTTAAAGCAACTCTAGCAGTCACTGTTCAGATGTTCTTGCTTCTTGCTGTGTTTTTTTTTTTTTTATAGTAGATGGAATCCCACTGAAATGGGCCAACAGCCCATGCAAAACAGGCGATGCAGAGACCTGAACGTTCAGTGCCTTGCCACAATGGGAGGAAGATCATCCCACACCCACTACCCCCTTCAAGGCTCAGGGACGTTTGCAGTAGAGGTTAGCGGAAAGAATGTAAGAGCCGGAGGAAGGCCTGGAGCGTTAACTGCAGATGTGCTCCAACCACTATGCCGGTAAGCTATAGTCACAATACCTTCCACCCTCATCAGGGAGTTGAGGGGGTTGTCAGTTACCCCTCCCACCTAATCACTTGACCTGAGCTCCATGTGCGGCTCTATAAGCTCTATAAGCCAAGAAAGCCATGAGGCTCCTCTCTCACCCTTTTGTTTGTCTGGAGGCCACAGGATCTGTGGTTGAGTATAGACTTTACAGCCCAGCCATCCATGGGGAGCTCCCACTCTTCTCTAAATAAATCCCTACCCAAACTCTGTTAGCAAGCCCAGTAAACTAGTCAGGATTTAAAAAAAGAAAGAGGGAGGGAGGGAGGGAGGGAGGAAGGAAGAGAGGGAGGGAGAGAGGAGGGCAGGAAGGAGAGAGAGAGGAACGATAGAACAGAGCTAATGGAAACCTTCATTAGTCCACCAAAATTAACCCCATGTTGGCCAATCCTTTGGCCTTTGATTTTTTTTTTTTTTGGTCTTTTTTGGGCAGGGCCTCCCTGTGACCCCAGTTGGCCTGGAGCTCGCTAGCCTCGAACTCACAGAGATCGTCCAGGCTCTGCCTCCAAAGTACTGGGGTCGAGGATGTGTGCCACCATGCCTGGTATGGGGCTACAGGGAGACTCTGTCTCAAAAAAGACAAAAAAAAAATTGCCTCTCAAGGAAGCATAAAAATGTACTTCCTGTTGAATAGAGGTGATAAATATTACCAGTGAAATCTACCTGATGACTTTATATCCATACTCTGATTAAGGATCCAAGTGTAACGGACTGTGACTAGTAATAATCAGATACATAGAGATTAAAAACACATGTGCAAACATCTAAGCATTAGTAGCATTAAAAATGTAGGAAACAGCATATTTTAAAATGAAATGGAGATCTTCTTTAAAGGGGAAAACTCATTCTATTTTATGTCTTATACAGTTTATACTGAGTTCAATGTTGTATAACTGTATTAATTCAACTGTGAACCTAAAAATTTACAGCCACAATCATTGTAAAACCCCAGAAAGTAGAAAAGCATTGCTGCAGAATGAAGGACGACTGTTGTAAAAACATTCATGCAGCCAGGGATGGTGACGAAAGCCTCTAACCTCAGTGCCTGTGAGTCAGAGGCAAGAGGATTGCTACCAGGTCCAGACCAACCCATGCTACATACTGAGGCTCTACCTTAAAAATATTATTTTAGCTGGGCGTGGTGATGCACGCCTGTAGTCCCAGCACTTGGGAGGCAGAGGCAAGCTGGACCTCTGTGAGTTCAAGGCCAGTCTGGTCTACATAGTGACTTCCAGGACAGCTGGGGCTACAGGGAGACCCTGTCACAAAAAGACGAAAAAAAAAAAAAAAAGTTTAAAGCACCAACAGTAATATAATGACAACAAGGGCCAATCGTCCAAGCAGAGCCTGTGCACAGCGAGGCCTTTGCAGCGGACTCTGCTGGCCCCTTTAGAAGAAGTTCCTTAATAAACTCTTGGGCTTAGTTTGCCCAAGCTACTAACCACCTGCCTCTGTCCAGCTCTTCATACTGGGATATAAGAACCTGGAACTCCTGGCACTGAACCCCAATATCTGACAATATTGAGAGGACACTGGGAAGTAGAGGCTGTGGCTGGGACACTCTGGTTACAGTGCTGGACCCGACCGGAACACACTACAGCATGCCTGTGATGGGTCATCCTGGGCTCAGCCACGTCCCCTCTCTCCCAGTCACAGGCAGGCAGACTAGACAACCACACTGAACACAGGGGCTGGAAGACACAACAGTCTTGGGGTTCAAAGCCATTCCCGGTCACCTGGCAGGTAGCCACCAGATGGAGGGTGTGTCCTGGGCCGACCCTGCACAGCGTCCTCGGGCCTGAACAACAAGGAAAGGGAAGAGCTCTGAGCCTCCCACAGCAAAACACGCCTCAGTATAAAAACCAGGAGCACAGAGCCCCTCACACAGCCACTCACACACACAGTCACTTAACACTCAACACACACACACTCCCAACGCCAGCCAACCCCACCATGGCCCCCTCCACCATGTCCGTCTGCTCTGACGCCCACACCGAGTCCTCCTGGCAGGTGGACGACTGTCCAGAGAGCTACTGCGAGCCCCGCTGTATCCCCAGCTGCTGTGTCCCCTGCTGCACCCCCAGCGACTGCCAGTCCAGCTGCTGTGCCCCAGCTCCCTGCCTGACCCTCGTCTGCACCCCAGTGAGCTGTGTGTCCAGCCCCTGCTGCCAATCCACCTGCCCCAGCTCCTGCACATCATGCTGTCAACAGTCCAGCTGCAGCTCCTCCCCCTGCCAACAGTCCTGCTGTGTGCCCCTCTGCTGCAAGCCCATCTGCTGCGCACCCATCTGCTGTGGGTCTTCCTCATCCTGCGACCAACAGTCCAGCTGCCAGACCTCGGGGTGCAGCTCCTCCCCCTGCAGCAGCTCCTCCCCCTGCTGTGTGACCCTCTGCTGCAAGCCCGTCTGCTGTGAACCTGTCTGCTGTGCTCCGGTCTGCTCTGGATCCCCCTGCGGCCAGCAGTCTAGCTGCCAGCCCTCATCCCAGTCGTCCTGCTGTGCACCCCTCTGCTGCAAGCCCGTCTGCTGCACACCCATCTGCTGTGGGTCTTCCTCATCCTGCTGCCAGCAGTCCAGCTGCCAGCCCTCGGGCTGCAGCTCCTCCCCCTGCGACAGCTCCTCCCCCTGCTGTGTGACCCTCTGCTGCAAGCCCATCTGCTGCAAGCCTGTCTGCTGCACACCAGTCTGCTGTGAACCTGTCTGCTGTGAGCCCCTCTGCTCTGGATCCTTCTGCGTCCAGCAGTCTAGCTGCCAGCCCTCAAGCTCCCAGTCATCCTGCTGTGCACCCCTCTGCTGCAAGCCCGTCTGCTGCAGACCCTGCTCCAGCGTGTCCCTGCTCTGCCGCCCCGTGTGCAGACCCGCCTGCTGCGTGCCCGCCTCCTCCTGCTGTGCCTCCTCCTGCCAGCCCAGCTGCTGCCAAGGGTCCTCCTCCCTGTCCCTGCTCTGCCGCCCAGCCTGCTCCAGCCAGGCCTGCTGAGGCCTCTCCTCAAACACAAGTCAGATGGTGATCTCCAGTACCCTGCTGGGGTGCTATCCCCCATGGGCTGATTCACCACTCCAGTCATCCCCACCCTCTGGCCTGACCACAGGATGAATTGGGTCAGCATTCCAGAGTGTGGTTGACCCAGAGTCCTTCTCTAAGACTTCCTGAAGGGAGACCCCTGCCCCCAGGCTCCAAGTCCAAGGCTGAGTCCAGCCCCAACAGTCCTGGCTTCCCCTGGCTTATCTCTACCTGCATCCTAAGCCTGCCTTTGGGGGCTGGACAGATGGCTCAGCAAATAAGATACTTGGTGCTCTTGCAGAGGACCCAAGTTCCCAGCACTCATGTCGGGCACCTCACAACCACTGTAACTCCAGGTCCAGAGGATCCCATGCCCTCTTTTGGCATGTGTGGGCACCTGCAGTCATGTGCACAGCCCTGACACTGACCCACATAATTTAAAAACTAAAAATAAATCTTTAAGTCTGTATTTGTCCTCTGTGACCTGTGTCCTGTGTATGGCATGGGCTTGGGTGGGCATGGAGGGAGCTGGACTCTGGGTACTGAGTGGAACCTCAGCCCAGGACATAACCTGGCTCTTCTCAGGGGAGTTCCCTGCTGTCTGAGTAAGGACTATGGGACAAATTGACCTGCAGGCAGCTGTGGATCCCTCAGCCATGCCTGTCCTTCCCAGCTGCTCTTGAGGGCAGGGTTCACTTGAGCCTCAGCCTCCACCCAGGGAACCACAACCCCAGTGTCTCCTGGGGAATCAGTCCTCAACAGCAGCTCCTGTCCTGATGCTGGTCTTCCCCACCGCTCTGCCCTCCCCAGGGACCACATCTCACCCAGGATTGCAGCTCCAGCCTGGCTCCAAGTCCCAAGGATACCAGTCTCCCAGTGCTCCCTGTCCACCTACCTTCCTGCATTGCAACCTGACGACATCTTTCCCACAGCCCTGCTGCCCACAACCCTGCCAGGGGTCCTAGACTAACCAAAAGGAGAAAGTGACCTCAGCACCAGCTCTCATCCTCCTGCTCCTCACTGTGGATGTGATGCGACCAGCGGCCTCACACTCCTACCTCCATGCCTCCCCCACCATGATGGACTGTGCCTCACACTCCTACCTCCATGCCTCCCCCACCATGATGGACTGTGCCTCACACTCCTACCTCCATGCCTTCCCCACCATGATGGACTGTGCCTCACACTCCCACCTCCATGCCTTCCCCACCATGATGGACTGCGCCTTCAAACTGTGAGACAAATAAACACTTTTTGAAAATTGTTTCCTGACAACTATTTTGTCACCGCAACAAGAAAACTACGTAACACACTGGGAGACACGAAACTTCTCAGCAGTCCCAAGGCCCCACACACAATGGTCCTGTGCACAGAGCGACTGGCTCCACCCCTCCAGAGTACTGGGGTTGAGGACATGTGCCACCATGCCTGGTTTAGTCTTTGATTTCTTATCCGTAATTTTTTAACCTTAAACGGATATATATAAAACCTGCTTCAAGATGTTTATGGAAAAATGTGTTAATAATTGCCTCTCAGCTGGGCATGGAGGTGCACGCCTTTAATCCCAGCACTGGGGAGGCAGAGGCAGGCAGATGTCTGTGAGTTCAAGGCCAGCCTGGTCTACATAGTGAGTTCCAGGACAGCTGGGGCTACAGGGAGACCCTTTCTCAAAAAAGACAAAAAACAAAAAATTGCCTCTCGACGAAGCATAAAAATGTACTTCCTGTTGAATAGAGATGATGAACATTACCAGTGAAATCTACCTGATGACTTTATATCCACACTCAGGTATTAAGGATCTGAGTGTAACGGACTGTGGCTAGTAATAACCGGATATGTAGAGATTAAAAACACATGTGCAAACATCTAAGTGTTAGTAGTATTAAAAATGTAGGAAACAGCATATTGTAAAATGAAACGGAGATCTTTAAAGGGTAAAACTCCTATTTTATGTCTTATACAGTTTATACTGAGTTCAATGTTGTATAGATAAATTAATTCAACTGTGATCCTAAAAATTACAGCCACTTTTGAAAGAGATATATGCTTGCTCTGGAATATGTTACTGAATATGTTAAAGCTGTAATGAAATGCTTCTTCTAATCATGTGGTTATTAAATTTAAAAAAATTTTTTAATCTAAAAAAATGGCCTCTCTTTGGATAATAAAAATATTATTTCCAAAGAGCTGGGCATGGTGGCATACACCTTTAATCCCAGCACTTGGGAGGCAGAAGCAGGTGGATCTTTGTGAGCTGGTCACACACCTGCCTGTGTTGCAGCTTGAGGCAGAGGAGAGCCTGTGAAAATTCACATCAGCCTGCCTGGGGCCAGGGCACCCTACTCACATCCCAGGCCTAAACCAAGCAGCTTTGAAACTGAAGACCAAACAACTTTCAGAAATTAAGATCTGACAGATCAGTCAGCATGAGGGTGAAGACTCTAAGTGGCTGACGACGTAACATGTTCGAATGTGTTTGGAAAATAAAATCTGGACAATTTCCAGAGAAGAATACAAAAGATAAAAATCTGGAAAATGGGAGAGGAAAAATGGCAAAGGTCATGGCAGAAGGGATTCCATCTAGAGGCAGCAGGGGCCGGCCAGGGAAGGAGGAAAGGACTTTCAAACACCGCAGATCAAGTGAGACAATCACATTGAGTCTCAGCACACTCCGGCCACAGGTAAAATGACAGGCCTGCAAGCAGACACCAGCATTCTAGAACAGTAAGGAGGAAAGACAAACACGGACCGAATCTGAAAGACAGGTGAGCTGTGAAATCCACCAGCTGCCTCTGCCAGTCCCCCGGGGGACACCAGCGGGGATAGAGCCCTGAGAGGACATGGCTTCAAGCCCAGGTTCTATACCCAGCCAGATTACCCAGCAAGGGCAGGCAGACCAGCGGGAGCCTTGAAGTGTGACCAGGCAGTATGGCCTTGCACCTGGTAAAAGAGAAATGTAAGAAGTAGAGTCTAGCTGGAAACGGAACACAGATCTGGAGTGTCAGGGAGAACCAGGTACCAAGGAGGACATGCCATGCAACCAAGAACAGGTTTTCTGCACAAGGCACAAGGAACAGGGAAAGGGGCCCAAGGTTGCCTGTCAATAATCCTCTGAGGAAATTGTACAAAGATGTGTGTTTTTCTTTTTTGCTTACATTTAAAATGTTTAAAGCAACAACAACAATAATAATAATGACAATACGCCCCGATCATCCAAGCAGAGCCTGGCGGCCAGTACCCATCACTGTGGAACGCTTCTAATCTTGGACGCCTCACTCAGGAAGGCCTCCAGTGTTTGCCAGACCTTCACTGGAGTCAAAACAAAAACACACAAGGCCCCGCGGCATCCACACTGCCCACAGCAAGCGCTAATGATGGGCCTCCAGCAGTGGCGTCAGCAGAAGGAAGCCCAGAGGCTCTCACCAGGACAACACCAACACACAGGGGTATAAAAGCTGACGCCTGGCACCTCACTCACACACCCACACACCTCACACCTCCTCCCACCCTTCCCACCATAGCCACCTCCACCATGTCCGTCTGTTCCAGTGACCTGAGCTACGACAGCCGAGTCTGCCTGCCCGGCTCCTGTGGTTCCTGCACAGACTCCTCCTGGCAGGTGGATGACTGCCCAGAGAGCTGCTGCGAGCCCTGCTGTGACCCCAGCTGCTGTGCCCCCTGCTGCGCCCCCAGCTGCTGCCAGTCCAGCTGCTGTGCCCCAGCCCCCTGCCTGACCCTCGTCTGCACCCCAGCGAGCTGTGTGTCCAGCCCCTGCTGCCAATCCACCTGCCCCAGCTCCTGCACACCATGCTGTCAACAGTCCAGCTGCCAGCCAGCTGGCTGCAGCTCCTCCCCCTGCTGTGTGACCCTCTGCTGTAAGCCTGTCTGCTGCAAGCCCGTCTGCTGCACACCCATCTGCTGTGGGTCTTCCTCATCCTGC